TTGAAATAAAGGAATTTTCAGTTTAAATCTGCATTTGGGTCCTGCCTGCTTCACACATCGTAAGAAGAAGAAGAAGAATTGGGAGGGATGAAACCCTCTTTAATGGTCACACATGCAGAGCACAGTGAAATGTGTTCTCTGCTTTTAACCCATCCTAGTACTAGGAGTAGTGTGCAGCTATTGCACAGCGCCCGGGGAGCAATGGGAGTGAGGGGGGAAGGGGGATGTCCGGTGCCTTGCTCAAGGGCACCACGGCAGGGCAGGAGGTGAACTGGGACCTCTCCAAGTAGCAGTCCACACTCCATATTTTAGGTCTGGTTTGGGACTTGAACTGGTGACCCTACGGCTCACAGTCCAAGCCCCTACTGACTGAGCCACTGCCAGACAAACAGAACAGAACGAACCAACCTAAATATGGGCCCAGCAGATCCTTTTGAGCAGGAGATATTGGAGTTTTACTTTGCTTTGATTGGCTGCTCTAGTCAATGGTTGGGAGCGTCCAGGGTTCAGCAGCGAGAGGCTGTTCTGGCAGAAGCACGCCAGATTACGATGGAGAAACCAGGCTTGGTTAAATTCTTACCGGGCGGGATTTTGGATTTCCTCATGGTGTGTTATCCCCTGCCTGACAGCCCCAGGCCTCTCAACTCTTGTTATGACACCACACGCATTGGTGTGGTCCATTTGGAGTCAACCCTGGCTTCTGCCCCATTGCCTGCTCCTGTCCAGGAGCCGTTCTCTGGAACTCGTATGGCCTTTGGAGGTCCACGGAGCCTCCAAAGGCCAGGAGTGGTGGACCGCTCAACCAGCATCACCACCGAGTTGGAGAGCAGCGTGATGTTATTCGCCGCCGCCGCCGCCTGAAAGGCACACTGGTGCATCCGGTCGGCCTGGCAGGCGCTCAACGTAGGGCGCTGTCCGGCGATTATGTTGGCCTGTCTTACCCCAAAAAACGCCGTCAGGCTCGGCTCCAGAGAAGGGGCGGCTGGGAAACCAGCATCTGTGAACCCCTCCACCTTGGTGAGGGGAACAAATGTGGCCACCGGAGCCTTCAGGGTCCTCTGGTTCGCCGCCGCCCCCTCCTGGAACCTCCTTATGGGCGGGAAGCGTGGCCAGATCGGGTCACTCCTGACCGTCTGCACCCGCGAAAAAACTCTGGTCATGTCATCCGGAGCACACCTCTCCTGAGCAAGGGGAACGGGGAGATCTCTGCAGGCGGCCGCCTTGCGTATGATCTCCGGCAGTTCCCCTAGGATGCCACCTATCGCCGGTAGCGCTGTGGTGACGGAGAAGGGGAAAGGATGTTCGGCCACCAAGCTTGCTCCCTGCTCCGACTCTGTCTCCCCCGTCCGGGGGAGAGGAGGGAGGGAAGAACCGAATGGTGAACCGTGGAGGGAGGCGGGGTAGGAGTCGTCCGACTCCCCAGTGACACAAGGCCCCCGTCCGCGGGCTCGTAAGCCTGGACGGGCCAATGGTCCTCCTCGGCCGCAGCAGCGAGAGCGTCCACTCTCCGCTTCCTGTCGCCCGAGGGGAGACGGGCACAGTGTGTGCATGCTACCTGCTGGTTTAGAGCCGCGTACACGTGCTCTGACCCCAGGCAGGATTCACATACTGTGTGCTGGTTATAACTCATTATGAACCCAGAGCCACATGAGGGACAATCTCTCACACAATTGTCACTCATGTTTACTCTGCAATTGAAGTGTCTCTTGTGCTTCAGTAACGGGGTGCTGAAGAAAAGAGGGAGCAGATTGTCAGGGCTCCTTCCTATTTATACCAGAAGGAGCCCGAGGGTGGGGCCCACCTTGCGGGTGGGCGGGGACTACAAGTGTTTCAGTGCTGCGCAGGTGCGCAGAGGGATTACCCAATAGCGATAGCCTTAGAGGGCGAAGCCATATACGAAATAGAACACACACGGAACAATTTGACACATTTCCCGCTCTTATGTGCCCATCCCCCCACATGGAGGGCACACACAATACATGTTCAGTGTCTATTCTTTATATATTTACTGCAATTGTTCATGTATACCAGTAGTCTGATACAATGTTTACAGTTTGAAAGGGTGTTAAATGAAATTTGGTGATGACTAATGGTTTTTGTGTTAATGTAATAGCAGTTAAAACAGGACCGGTCAAATCTGACCGCGAACACCAAAGTAAGGGGGGAACACGAAGACAATAGGAGGGTTAATAGTGCTGCTCTGTTTCTCCATATTGTAATTGCACGTGTGTTAAATGTGTCTTCTCAGCATACAGCAGACCCCATTATGCATGTCAGCCCGCTCTTTTACTTATCCTGTCCCGTGCTAGCTGTTTTCCCCTGCTCTCATTCTTTATACCAAGTTATGCTATCCAGGTCCTTCATACTGCTCTGTGCTAACTAAGCCCCCAGATATACTATATACTGGTATAGAAATATTTGTATCTCAAAGTGTTTACCTTAGAACTCCTGATAAATCATTGAAATTAAGATGTTAGTTTATCATTAGTTAAAGCAATATATTTAGGTTTTCTGGTACATTTTACACCCATTTATGAAATATTCCGCATACATTTTAAGAGTTTCAGCTTTATTAACAAATTGTATCATCATCTACGCTAAAAATTAACCTTCTATCTTCCTTTGGTCAAAAATCTATTGTATGTGCGGCTCGTTGTCCACCTTTGAGAGGCTCTATGTAATGGGGAGCTGGCATCGGACATTTTAAAAGCTTAGATGGTGTACTCAAACACTGTTAACACATTGAGAGGCAGTTGGATGATGAGAAACTGGGTACTCTTTGTCAAAACATTACATTCGTGCTAAGTCCACCCTAAGTGGAGTCGCTGCACTGTGGTCTCCCCCTTCAATGTTGGAGTTAGAGGACGCTGCAGTGTCTTTTTCTACTGAAGATAGTTAGGCATTGTAGAAAAAAAGATCACTGAAACCATGATCAATTATCTCTGCCTCCTCTGATGACCTCGATGAATTCAGCCATCTGATATCAATGAGGTTGGATCGATAAATGTGTTTGCACCAGTTGATGAACATTATTGAATTTGTTTGCCTGCTGTTAATCCTCTCAGGACACTGGACCTCCCCCTGCTATCCAAACTAAAGACATGATGCACGTGGATTAAATAATACGATCATAACTCTCTGGCCCAGAGGTTGGTGACAAAGGGTGGATTTTTATTCAAATACATACAAAAATAGTGAAAATTAATTAAGGAATTAGTACAATTCCAAGCAAAATACATGTAGAGGGTATCAAAAGTCTGGAAAACTTGTTTGTCTGCAGCAGGACATGTATTTATTGCTTATTTCCAGGAGTGCACATAACTTTTTTGCCCTGGTTCTCAAAGGAGCACCTGGAGATGTTGCTTGGTGCTCATCCTTAAAATGAAATAAACCGTAACTTTTGAGGGGGTCTTGACTTTATTTGCCAGACACACGGCACTGAACACACGTGCAGAGGTGAACACAGAACACACATGCAGAGGTGAACACAAGACAACATTAGCACGACCAGTAATCCTACAAGCTGTCATCACTACCCTCCTGACTGTTCTCCTCACTGTCTTCCTCTCTGTCAGACATGGTAGCTGATGATGTAGGCCTACTACTTCCTCTCTGGTTGAGTCTGCGATTAGCTGCTTGCATCCACAAGTCAACAGCTGGGTTTGGGTCGAAAGTCTCTGTTGTCATCTTAGACAAGTGGATGTAATCAAATAAGTATGTGAACATAACCAATAACCTACCATAGCCAATAACAAATTAATGTAACTTATTTTATTTTTGTTGTTCATTCATATCTTATTTTACCGTAACATTTATTTATTTATGCATTTTTTGTTATCTCTCCAGTTTTAAAGGATATTTTTGGTTACTGTCCTATAGTATACATTGGAATGATTTCAAACCTGTTTATCCCAATAATTATAAAGGAGTGCCTTGGAAATATGTGTTTACATAAATTGTGACCAAATCGTTTGAACTTAGACTAAAGTGAACTATCTAAACACTCAGAGTCCTTTACCTCACTGAGCTGTAGTTATCAGCCTCTCAGTCTGACTGGAGAGGACTCTCCCTCCACATTATTGTAGAAACATCTTCTTATATCCGTTAGAGCAGCTATAGCACCAGATTCTAATAACAGCGCCGGTACCGGTGCACCCTCCCTCGCTCACTCGCATTTTGGCTGTGAGCTGCGGGCGCCAGATAAGCCAACATCCCCCATTTTCATCACTTACAGCGCCCATCGTACAGGGCAAATGAAACGTGTAACCGGGGTGAAAAGCGTGTTACATTTACTTAATTATGAATATTGTTACATCAAGGCCGAAAATTAGGATGAGTACCAACGGTCAAAAAAATGTTTTTCCCTCCCAGAGCTGCCAGCGCAGCGCCTCCACAGATCTGGCGCATATAGGCGAACATCTATAACGCCAGTGCCACGGGCCGGCCCAGGGCCTGAGTTCATATGCAACTCACAAATATCTTTCTCTCTTCTCTCTCCTCTTCTCCCTTCTCTCTCTCCCTCTCAATGTTGGTGCGCAAATGCGCCTTTTTTCAAATGACCCGGTGCTCTTTCTTTGGCGCACCAGTTATGTGCAGCCCTGCTTATTTCATTCTTTTATTCAACTTCTTTAGGGGATGGTTAGTCCTGAGCTTCCTTTTTGGTCCACATCAAATGCTAACCATGTCATGATCCCACCTCTGAGTTTATTTATTCTGTTTTATTTTGAAAAGTTTTCTTGCCCTATGTCATGCCTGTTTTTACTTCCTGTCTTTGTGTGTTTTCCCACCCATTTTATTTCCTTATTGGTTCCACCTGTTCATTGTTAGCCCTGCAATGAACCTGCTCTCCTGTACACCTGCACTTATCCCCTCATTAGTTCTGCTCGTGTTTCAATTTTTTCTTTTTTGAGTTCTCATTGTCGTGTTCAGGAATGTATTTTTCACTCTGACTGCCCTCACCATCTCATGAGACACATTTTGATGAGTAAACATACTGTTCATAACTTGACAAGTGACCATTTATTTGGTGTATATTGAAGACATTTCACAGTGTGGCTTTGGTACAAAAACAGAACATTAGGATCAAATAAAAAATGATTAGAAATCTGAAGGTCCATCACCAGTGTGATATCATTCCCAGCAACAACATCTGTATCTTTACAAAGGGTGAAGGAGGAACCATCAAAAATGCACAGCAGAGATAAGCCAACGATTGTAAAGACTAAACTCCAAGGTAAGGTCTTTAAATGTCTGGTTTTGTCAATCCAAAAATAGTCACTTAAATCTGATATAAACAGAGGAAAGCAGCAAATCTCAATATTTGAGAGGCTGAAAACAGCATTTTCTGCGATTTTGCACACACTCCAGAATTTGGCTTTCTTTTTAAATTATTTTGTGACATTCTCACTGAAGAGACTTGCAATTACTTGCCCTAGACTTCTGCTTTCAGACGTAGTTAATTATGAAGTTATTACCCTATCTGATAATAATCCAATGCAGAGGCAATCATGTAATATAATGCATTATTTTATATATATTAAATATGTATATATGTATTTTGATATAGTCTTAAAGTTACAACCGGCCTTTTGAGTGCAACCATAATTCGTACGTGGCCCGTGATGACATTGAGTTTGACACCCCTGCATTAAGCTATTGAACTTTAGGGACCATAGATTGTACACTACCCCTTATGATGCATTGTAGGATCACTTGAGTCCCATATGGGTATAACAAATCTCACCATTCCGTGGACTACATCTAGTGAACCGGAAATGAGTATGGATACAGCTTTTGGATATTTATACATTGAAGAACTACAAATCCCATGAAGCTTTGATACTTCTGTAGCTAAGACCTAACAATATGTTTATAAAAGGTTAACCTAATATCTCTGTGAGATTGACAAGGTTCTCAAACTGTAGGTGATGTAATGGATTAGATAGATATTTATTTTTGGACTTAAAAGTATCATGGTATTGTGAAAAATTATAAGCAAGTGAAACAAGCTAATCCCAGGCGTGTTTATGGCTCTATCCAAATGATTATTTGATTATTAAAAGGGATCTATAATAATTGAATAGCACACAGTGGTGCTATAAATAGTATTAAATACACATATTCATAAAATGCTTTCATGCAGTGTAAAACCATTGACACATTAATAACATATTTACATTAATCCAACACCAGAAGTTCAATTGTATGTGTGGTTGTTAACAATATTCACAAATAGAGGCACAAGAATAGATCCTATAATTAAACTCACATGTGCAGAATATGTTAAATATAAGTGAAGATGGTTTCATTGGTGCCGTTGCAGTGACTTTCATGGAGTTTGTGTGTGTGATCACGTGGAGATGATATTTGCACCATCAGCCCGTCACTCTTCAGCTGTGATTGGCTCCAGCAGAGAGCTCACAGTCCATTCCCAGTGAAAGGCCGCCATTGCAAAAAGTCTTTGTTCTGCTTCATCCCCTCGCTTTGATTTCCAAATGAAGCTCTAAACTTCTGACACCCAGTGGCTCATGCGAAAGAACGGTCAACAGAAGCTGTTTTCCATCAGTGGGAATGAGGCAGCGTTTGCCACATGTCTGGGCTGAAGGTTGCTCTTAGAAACAGCTTAGGGAACCATGGAGAACAGCATAAATACAGCCAACAGGTGCAAATTAAAAGACATGAACTTAAGTTATTTTGAAGGGGTATTGGGGATCTTCACCACTGGGACGTCCTCTGCAGACCATTTCCCTGCAGATGAAGAAGAGAGAACGGTTGTTAATCAAACAGCACATTATTGGATGCAGATGACAACGCCACTGAAAACCAGTGTACAGTGTTATATGGTTGGCTCTGAAAAGCTTGAGTGCAGCAGCTTGGAGTCAAACATTTGTGACCAATGATGTGTCTGAAATAAAAGTGGCTTTTTTGGGTTTCTAAAGAATTTGCACACAAATAATCACCTTATTTAGCAAAACATTTAGTTTCCATTGTATCAACACTAGCTGTCAAACAATCCATTGTTCTGAATAAATGTATTTATTCAAAGATCAGTGATCCGATATCATTGATTCAAAGTGAAAACACTTTTATTTTGAAATAATGAAAGGAATGTATTCTTTCTGCCTAAACACAGTGCAATCCAACAGAGTTTTGTTATAAAATGGCTTTTTGTTTAGGTGTATTTTGTGGATAGTAACCTAATTTTGATAAATGGGCACATTTTGTGATCTAAAAAAATCCCCTTAAAATTATATATTTATAAGAAATATTGGGTAAATACAAATATAGTCAACTTTTTTATGTTGTGTTTTTATACATGGAATGGTGATTGGGTTATTAAGACACAGAATGAGTTTGGTGAAAAAGAAAAATCCATTTGACTAATTCTTAAGGAAAGATTTGGCTAAATATGTCTGTCCTCTGTGTGTGGTTAGCTTAAAACATGACATAAACTCTACGTATTATGAGTCATCTATTAAAATGTCTAAAAAGTATAAATCTGGGTCACATTGAAATCTGCTTAAAATTGACTACAGCTTCTGTCCTCCGGAAATAAGAGAACCATACTCTTCAGAGCCACCTTAAAGCATCAAGTTGAGGGTTTAAAACTCAAAATGTAACTTTTCAGGTTAAAAAACAAATAACAGACTTAAAAAAGGAAATGGTATGTACAGAGAGATACAAACACTGCAATATGACCTACAAATGCAATCCTTTTCACCAACATTCTTCTTGCATTGCAGTCAGAAAACAGATAGAAAAGTACATGGAGTCCAAGTAGCATATTGAGCAGATAAGGTAAAAGAGAAGAGGCCTTAAGAGAGTGAGCTCCACAAGGTAAGAAAAAATAAACCCCAGACAAAGAGGTGATTCATAGTGAACCTGTAGGAGAAGTTGCTATGGATACTGAGAGGTGGACATGCACAGAGGCAGGGGAATAGAAAGCATCTGGAGGTAAGCGAGTTGATAAGGAGAAACAAAGACAGGCGTGGGGGGGTTCAGGGTACCACATACGCTGTGTCCGTTTGTGTGTGCGGTGCTGCTGCTGTCAGTGCGGGTCGAGGGGGTGCTGCTCCCGCTGTTGGCTGCTGAGCTGGCTGAGGCTCTGGGGATGATCATGTCATAGGACACGTCCGGAGGGTGCTGCACAACAAGGGCCAGGACACAAACATTCAGAGACCAGGATGGGAAAGAACATACTTTTTGGAAAGACCTCCACACAAATAGTGTACTGAGCCAGTTTGGATGTTTCAAGGGGGTTGTATGAGAAAATGTATTCATATTCAATGTATTAACTACAGTAGATGGAGGTTGACACGCCCCCAGTTTAGAAATCAGACAGAAGCAAAGTGATGCACAGCTTTTGACGTAGGCACAAGCGACACAGATGATGACGTGCAGGCTATATTTATAACATTTGACTGCTTTACCGTGATGACAGACAGCCAAACTGAAGCCGTTTCATCCATCTTTACTCTCGCCATTGCCACCAGGGTCCGTTGAATATAAGGGATCATTTAACCATGCAGAACAAAGGAGCTGCCAGTCTACCACTGCCTCAATACGTTCGATTGTTTGGTTGCTTTGGTGAATCCGAACTAACCAAAGTCATACAAAAACACAAACAATACTAGCGATTGAGTCAGCGTAAGACCCCAACGTCCATGTTCTACAAAGATAACTGTTATTTTATGTAACTTTATTCAAAGAGTCTGACTTTAAACAGAGCATAGATAACCCCTTCAGTTAACTGACGACAAGATAAAGCCAAAGAATCTAAATATAGTGTTTTGCTATGATATTGATTGTTTAACGTGTCCAAAATGCATATTGCTGCTGACCCCTCCCACAATACTTGCTGTTAAGCTGTTGCTTAGCTTCAGTGTTGGTAATCCTGCGTGTTTCTCCAAAATGGGGGCGTGCTGACAACCATGTTCTGTAGTTAATATACTCACTGTGGATAAGTATCTCAAATAGCCCAACTTCAAATCATTTGAAATACCTCTCCCTTCCTGTCTATGTTGTCCTGGATAATGCATTGCCTATCTTCAAGCTGTCCCTTCAAGCAAAAAAGCTAAAACCCTCCAAACTCTTGGATAAAATATTTTAAATCTTGATCACATTTTTGCATATGTACATACCTATACATTCTCACAATTAAACTCTCTAAGACAGCGGTGCCCAACCAGTCGATCGCGATCGACCAGTCGATCACCTGGAGATTCCCAGTCGATCGCGAGATGTGTCTAAAAATAGAACAACAATATTCTGTTTTATCGTTAATGTCCTATAACATAATCCTCCTGTGCCAGAACAATGCACTTGAATGCATCAAAGCTTTGTGATTGGCGTGACCCTATGTGTCGGGGCGTGGCTGGTGGGCAGTGGGCACTAGTTCGCTGACGTTGTCCGTGTCAACAGGAGTGACAGTCCGCACACACACAATTATGGCAGAAGCAAAAAAGGGGGGGTCGGTCGATTAATCGATTTTAATCATGGTCAGTTTCTGGCAACCCTAATATGTAACAGAGTTAAACATGTGAATACATAATTATAAGTTTGTGAATGTTTAATTCATAATAAGTTGTGAATTTTAAGAGATGAGATTGTTTCATTTAATATTTTAAGTTTTGTTTCGTGTGGGAACACTTTCCCGTTGCACGTCTTTGTTTACTTCTGGTATGTATTTTCCAACTTCTTCTACCATCTGTAGAATCTGGAGAATCACAGAACGGCCGGTCGATTCGCTGACGGCCGTTTATGTTTTTAAATGGCATCATTTTCGCTAGCACCCCTCTCCTGTCATCATTGTCCAAAATCAACAGACTTTACCTATTTTTGTCATGGTTTTGACTTGACCTGTATTTACTTTTTTTAAATTCCTTTTCTGTTTTGCTTGTTTATGTTCGGCATAGTCAGTAGATTCACTTCACCTGCTCCCCTTTTCATACCCTAGTATATTAACCAGTCCACTTCCACCAGGTTGTCTTTGTGCTGTGAGTCTTAGCTTTCCTGCATCTGAGCAAGTGGTTTTCTTTTAACCTTACCCCGTATATCCTGGATTTGGTGATAGCCTAGCCCTCTTGTTCTGTGTTTACCTTCCTTTATTTTTGTATAATTGTTGTTTGTTAGAGAACAGATCGTTTTTTAGCCCCTGCCCTTTTAAGGCTGGAGCCACAGGAGGATGATAACGCAAATGGACCGAAATCGATATCAAAAAAGTCTTCCGTCCACATGCAATAGGCACCAGAAACGTGTCCGTTCACACGAGACCGCTCGAAAGCGCTGGAGACGCTGTAGTACACATGCCGGGCCTGTAAGTGGCGCTGCACTCCTGCCACAAAAGCAGCGAAGAAGACTTCCCGTGCATGGTTGCCATGGTTGCCCTTCTGTTTATTCTCCGCTGTGGACGTCTATCTGATAGAGAACTGTAGCAGATACGACCGTTATCGTCCTTGTATGGCCGGGGCTTAAGTCACTGTGACTGGGTTTTTTTCTTGAGTTTTGACAATTTTTTATCAATTTCACTATTTTTTAAATGCTGTAGTTTTGGGCGTACATATCATAATTGAAGGATGACTATATATTCGCCTCTAGGTTGACACCGGAAAAAAACCGATAAGGGATTTTATATATATTTAAATCAATACTGACATACCTCAGATCAATACATTTGCAAAAAAATAATATAATTAAAACTGTAATTTACACTGTTATGCAATTTGGAAATATTCATCGTTAAGACCACAATTTGACCAGTGCATCTTTTATGACACTTCTTGTAAATGATCATTCCTAAATGTCATCAAACATGGCATGTAGCCTTATCAATAAAGAATAAGTAATAGACTGCTGTGGTGAAAACCTGTTTGTCAGATAAGATCTGTGGCGCAAACAGGTAGAATGCTAACTCATTTCCTGGGTTTTGGGAAAGTGTTACTTGTGGTGTTCATTTCAGTTTACATTTGCCTACCACAGGACATACAGTGGAAGTAAACCAGCTACGTTACAGCCTCAAATGCAGCATTCAAATTAGTTTCTCTGAAAGCAAACTACCAATTTGTTTGTACTTACAATCCCCCCTCCTTTGCTGATAATGGCCAGCTCAGTGGGCTGGTACACTGAACCCCTCACCTGCCCTGTGTAGCCGCTGTACGGAGACACAGGCTTGGACCCTGTAATGCAAAGAGACAACAAACGTTATAATCTTGTCACATATCAAGTCCTCTGAGTGATATCTCTCTGCCTCCTAATTGCTATCTTTCCCTAGCAAACATCTCTTATATCTTTATATTACAACCACTTAAGCTACAAAGCCTTAATCTCATTCGTGCTTGCATCCTTAGAATGAGAGATGACTTTGTTAAAATCAAACGTTTTCCTCAGGGTGAAACTGTTGCCACACCTCAGTTGCCATGGAGACTATGCAAACACAAGGAGTGATGGTTCTGGTGGGAATCAGAGGGAGTGTTTGCATGGGACACAGTGGTTAGGAATGCAGTTAGATACTAGACACTCATTAACAGGAATGATTCAGACACTCTGAATTAGGGATGCACGATATTGGTTTTTTGAAACCGATACCAATAACTTCCTGCTTCTCAAGACCGATACCGATAACCGATAATAATATAATATATATATATATTAAATGTACCTGTAGTTTTTGCACACCTGGTGTGCCTGGGGTCGTCTCTGGCAAACTTCTTGCCTTTTTCAAAAGCCTCGTCAATAGGTAAAAGCCCCGGTGCCTTTGCAGCTGGCTTTGGATTTGCCGCTAGTTTAGCAGCGCAGGCGTCTTCGTACGCTTCGTATGCTTCGTACGCTTACATCGCCATCGTAGCGATGGCGATGTTTCAGGTGACTAATCAGGTTGGAAGTATTATAGCTCGTTGCCTTTTTCCCTCCTCGTGGAACTTCTGCATTGCATTTGTTAATACAAATAGCAAGCGAACTATCTAACTCTGAAACTTTGAAATAGTCCCATACTACCGACGACATGTTTGTTTACTGTCCTGGCTTCACGGCCGCACACCATTTACGTCACAGCCAGGCATGAGTTAGGGAGCGCTGGATTTGTGAAGAACTCCCCTCTTCCTAAACCACTAATATCACAGTACTGGCAAAACGGGAGGAGCCGAGTGAAAAACAAGCGCCCCTCATCCCAATCCACCCACACCGCAGTATTTTTTTCTTTTTTTTTACCCAAAAAATATATTGTATATTATCGGGGCTATTAATACTTTTATCGGGTTTATCGGGATGACGTCATAATTCCTAATATCGGACCGATAATTATCGTGCACCACTACTCTGAATATCTGACTGCAACTCTGGGAACAACATGTGTACATATGGTTGGTCACAGTTTCCATTCCGCACCTATTATGGATTTGTATTCATCATGTCTCCCAATACATTGAACAAAGTTATCTATAGGGAGTAAACTGGGAAGTTAAGGATAAAGGTTGAACTCAAATGATGCTGCTCTGTGTCATGAACCCAGATATGATTAGCCTTATCACACAACAGCTGTTGTGTGATAATCTTTGGTTCCAGTAAGGTATAAACAAGGAAATGTGTTTGCAGATTGAATAAGGCAGTGGAGTAAGGCTGAGAGGATCAGATAATGTCTCAAAATAATGTTGTTATCCGGCAGCAAGGCTGTATTATAGAATTCCTAAAAACGGAAGCACAACAGCCATTTTGTATCTAGTGTTTAATGTAAAAGCTGAATCTATAAACGCACACCAACTGTTGTAATGAAAAACATAAAAACTAGTTTTGCTGGTGGCTTTCCACCTCTAGACCACAGTGACACAAGCTGACAGACTAGTGACATTAACTGCCACATTACAGCGTCTACCTCACCCTCTATGATTATCCACTGACTCCAGCCCTGATGACCAGCTCTCTCTGCCTGAGAGCTGCAGACTTATGTTCTGATCTTTGTGGCGTTTTTTTACTGCATCATCATCCTGCTCGGCTCAGGACTTAAACTGCAGCATATCAAATTGTGTGGGGTCATCACGTAGATGCAAAACAACCTTTTTGAGGACAGTTAGGAAGGTAATCAGCCCGTCCTGATGTTTATGAGGGCTATACATTTTTTGAGGTAATTCAGTCAAAGGACAAAACCTACAAATCCATGCAGACATTTTGTTGAGCTTCCGATATGATTGATATTTATTCAGGGAGCAAGCTGTGTGACTAATATGTAGGGTTGGGTACCGAGAACCGGTTCCGGTTCGGAACCGGTTCCAACATTTTGATTCCAACGGCATCATTTAGAAATGTGAATTTCGGTTCCGCTTTTCGATGCCTGAGGAAATGTTTCTCACCGCTCTCCGTAGCTTATTGTATGACTGCGGCGGCAAATGTAGCGTTGTACCCTGTACCCATAGATATATATATAAACACGTGTTTATATCATAGGTTTATATATATATATATGGTTGTACCTACACTTCCTACAGCGTAACCTGAGACCAGGGCCGGCCCGTCGCACTGGCGTTATAGATGTTCGCCTAGGGCGCCAGATCTGTGGAGGCGCCGCGCTGAAAAAAATGTTTGACCGTTGGGGCTCATCCTAATGTTCGGCCTTGATGTAACAACATTCATAATTAAGTAAATGTAACACCCTTTTTACCCCGGTTACACTTTTCATTTGCCCTGTACGATGGGCGCTGTAAGTGATGAAAATGGGGGATGTTGGCTTATCTGGCACCCGCAGCTCACAGCCAAAGTGCAAGCGAGCGAGGGAGAAAGGGAGGGTGCACCGGTACGCGCTGTTGTTATTAGCATCTGGTGCTAGCTGCTCTAACGGAAGAAGAAGATGTTTCTACAATAATGTGGAGGGAGAGTCCTCTCCAGTCAGACTGAGAGGCTGATAACTACAGCTCAGTGAGGTTTCTTTTCCCTTCACTATATCTGTAAAGCGTCTTTGAGCACCTGTAAAAGCGCTAACAAATTAAATCTATTATTATTATTATTATTAAAGGACTCTGAGTGTTTAGATAGTTCACTTTAGTCTAAGTTATCTCAGTGGGTCTCAAACGTTTTGATCACAATTTATGTAAACACATATTTCCAAGGCACTCCTTTATAATTATTGGGATAAAACAGGTTTGAAATCATTCCAATGTATACTATAGGACAGTAAACCAGAGATATCGTTTTAAACCGGAGAGATAAAAAAATATATGCATAAATAAAAAAGTAAAATAAGATATGAATGAACAACATAATAAAATACGATACATGTACTTGTTATTGGCTATGGTAGGTTATTGGTTATGTTCACATACTTATTTAATTATTCAAATGTAAACCGATCTTTTTCATATGGGTGTTTAGAGTTGTACCCTCTAGATCTAGTCTCTAGTAATTCTGCTTAAAGCACCAGATTGAAGCATTTTGTTTAATTAATGTGAATATTACTGTAAACTAACCTGTGTAAAAGTTTCTCGAATAAATGTAATTTTTTTGGTGGAAGAAGCATGTATCATTTTTTACCCTGCTCCTCAAAGAATCGGAATTGAGAACCGTTAAGAACCGGAATCGAAAAGTAGAATCGGAATCAGAATCGTGGAAATTCAAACGATGCCCAACCCTACTAATGTCACATGCAACGTTTATGTATGTGTGCTTCGAACCCTTCTTGTTAGAACCATTCAAACAAACCAAGCCAATACCTGCTAAATTGAAAAGTTGAGCTTTGATGAGGCAATAGTCATGCTATAGCCAAAAAAAAAAGGAAAACAGGATATATTGTTTCTATAACTTGGTGTGCCCAGATCTAGAATTCATCATTATGGATTTGATATAAACCATTAAGAAAGGTTTTCCTTTTTTAAAACTACAGGTAATATAGTCGTATTTCTGTAATATTTTAGAGTAATAGTAGTAGTGTAATGATATCAACAAAAAGCAATAACTCTAACCCTAACTAGCTTGTATGTTTCAATAGGAAATGGACAAAAAACCTTTCAAAGCCTCATTCCAAGCCGGTGGTTAAAACTAACTATGAAGAGGAAATAAACAACATTTGAGTCTCAGAGGAGATTTGTAATTTTAGCAGGCAACACACCTTGGTTGGGCTCGTCCATAGAGAAAGCCTTATTTTCCATGAACATGTTCTGGGAGCTCTGCTCCTTCAGAATGGTCTCGTAGCCGACTCCTCTGTTGGGGTACAGATCGTCCCCGAAGCTTTGCTGACTGTCATCGTCACCGCTCAAACTGCACATGTCAGGAATGGAGTAGAGGATGAGGAACGCCCATCCATTGGCTACCAAGGCGATGGCCAAGGTGGGGTCATCCCATGTGGGCCCCCCTCTCCTCTCATTCCCGTAGACGTACATGGCGATCCACGCCACCCAAATCCCCACAGAGACCAAGCTGGTTAGAAGGATAAAGGCACCGTCTTTCTTCCACTTATTGTGTTTACCCGCCATGATGGCCAGGCTTGCCACCACCACAGCCAGGATCAGGGTCATTACGTAGATCAGCGCCATGACGAAGTCCTCGTTGGCGATGTTGCAAGGAGTAGCCGTGGCTGTGCTAGTTTCGGCTGTGGCGTTGAGTGGCCCCTGTGGGTGGCGCACTATGGTGATGATGAGCCACTCTGTGTTGATGACCACCTCCACCAGCCACAGCGCCACTGCCCCCAGACCCAAGGCCCAAGCCCGGGGCCCACTGTTCCGCCTGACGAGGATGTTCAGCCTCACGCACTGCATTAGGAGGCAGGCGAAGCAGCCGCTAAACAACACCCCGAATAAGAACCTCCGGGAGGCACAGGTGGAGAAATCCTTTCCGACAATGAAGGCGAACGTCAGGCAGAAGAGACCCATCGTGAAGAACAGGAACCAGGCGTGGAGGCCCACCGAGCTCTTGCGGTTCTTGTCTTGCGTAAAGGGTATGCTGGCCAGAAGTGCCATGAAAAGCACAATGGAGAAGACGATGCCAGCCGACGCGAAGGCCTCCAGCACGATGCCCCACACAGCATCAAGGTCACACAAGTTGTAATAGAGGGAGTCCACATTGGGGCCACAGCCGTGAGGGGTGTTGTTGGCAGCCATGGCTACTTGTAAAGACCAGAATTTAGTTTGGACAAGTTGTTCTGCGATCCTGCCAGCACCTGTTCAGAAGGACAAACAGGGAGAGTCTGAAACATTTCTTGGACTGTTGAGTATTAACAAAGACTCGTCACAAATACTGGAATAGGATACTGTTGTCTACACCCAATTAAGCAAATATTACACTTACATGAGTCAGTTTACACACTTCCCCACATGGGATTCAAAGCTTTGTCATGATGTTTAAATAGAAAGTAATTTGACACTCTTTCAGAGCTAGAAAGAATTAGAACGCTGAATGTCCAACTATGGACTTTTCCCTAACTTTGACGTTAATCATTAGAGGGATCTGTGAACAAATATTGTTTCTGTGCATTGCGATTACACTTGAATCAATAGGTGAAAGTGCATTAAACCTTAAGTGCTATGGGTGGACCTTTTAGTTTTAACAATGCACAAATCAAAATCATTGGTACTTTTAATGATGATTTATTTTAAACAACATAAAATCAGAGTGGAACAGCGTCTGCTTTGTGATAAACATCTCCACAGCGCCTGTTTTTGCTTTTCACTGTGTCTGGCTGGTTCTTTTTGTCCCCGTCAGATTAAATTACTCTGAACTGAGGACTCTGAGCCAGATCGATAGATTTCTAGTGGCGGAAGTTCAGTCTTTCTAATTTCTTTGACTCTATCATGACAAGGATCTTTCTGGAACAACGTTATAACCTTTTCTGGTTTGAATGATTTGGTTAGTCCCTTATTTTTGGGTGGCTTCAAGAGGTCTGTCAGTTATTTTGTAATAAATCACTTATATGTTTTTTTTTCAGTTTAGGGTGTGACCTCTAATCACAGACAGAATTGAAGCCACTTTTTACCAACTGAATAACAGAGACCTGTGATTACACTATATTAACACGTCAATTGTATTTTTACCTCTGTTACCATGGAAAGCTCAAGGACCAACCGTTTTATGGCATGTTTGCTATTTCTGAATGTTCAAGGTAAGAACACAAGGCATAATTTCATTCCAGTAAGAAACAAAGACCAAAGACTCCCAGCTGGTACAACTTTTTTTGTTTTGTCTTTCCATACAAACTTTGGACAGAGATAAATCAAGGATAGGGAAACCCCTGATTCCTTAAAAGCTCTATCAAGCTCCAAACAGAACAATTAAAAAATCAATGAATCGCAACTATTTTATCGATCATGCATTCATCTCTACTATCTCAAGTTCTTTCATAATCTCTGAAAGAAAACAAACTCACCACAAGGTCCATAGCATTTCCGGAGCTTTCAATCATATCACATGGTCTTTATCAGCAGGAAGAATTTGTCCAATTATCATGGCTTTGTTAAATTGCTGATCAAAGCGTCTGAGCCACATTCAATGAGAATCTACAATTCCAAGATCACTAGGCAAACTCCCTGCTGATAAAGATCATGTGATGTGATTGTAAGCTCATCAACATTTACTAAATGGACCTTCAGGTGAGAATGTTTTCCCATCAACAGCCTAAGGCCCCGTCCACACAGAGACGAAACGGGTTGTATCCGCTACAGTTCTCTATCGTATAGACGGTTCGTCCACACGAGGCCAACACGGAAACGCGGATAACGATAACGGCTCCCAAGGTGGGTAGATCTGCGGACAAAACGCTCTGGGGGGCCAAACGGCTCCGTGTGTACGTCCTATACCAGTGACCATCAACTGGCGGCCCGCGGGCCACATCCGGCCCACCAGACATTCTCATCCGGCCCGCACGACGGGGGTGACTGTGGCGTTAGTGCGTTCGCCCCCCACTAATTTTTTTTTAATACAACGTCTCGTGAGTAATGTGCAGTACCGGAGTCCAACAGAGAGTCGTTGTCGTCCCCCCCCCCCCCCCCCCCCCCTTGGATAAATGTTGGCCCTTGGACAAATGTAGTTGGTGATCCCTGCCCTATACGATCATTTCCTGATAACGATGATGCCATAGCCCCGCCCTTCCCCACCTCGACTGCTCACCCCTGCGTCATTGCTGATGTGTTTTGCCAACAACAACAATGGAGGATCACAGGGTTGCTTTCGTGCTCCAGACACTACTGACCATGATACAGATCTCAAAATCTACAGCTCCTCTACCACAACCATCAGCAACAAGTGGACATGTAGAACTACATGAACTACATGTTGCTAAATCCACCGCGGAGAATAAACAGAAGGGCAACCAGGCAACCATGGCAACCATGCTGGGGGGTCTTATTCGCTGCTTTTGGTGAATTTTGTGGCGGAAGTACAGTGCCACTTACAGTCCCGGCATATGTACTACAGCGTCTCCAACGGGTCTAGCGGTCTTGTGTGGACGGACACGTTTCTGGTGCCGATTCCGTGTGGACGGAATACTTTTTTGAGATCGACCTCGGTTCGTTTTCGTTTTCATCTCCGTGTGGACGGGGCCTAAATGTGTGAGATGACAACAAAAGACATCAACAAAATGCTCCCCAAGGTTCTAACGTTTACCATGTGATATTTAGCAATGTGAACCACTGAAACAAAATATTCAAAGTGTAATGTTATAAGTAATTTCTGGTGTCAAACTCTTGCTTTCATTGTTTGCTTGCCTTAAATGTTAGAACTTAAACGCAACATGATAAATATAAAATTAACAACTTAGAAGACAAAGGGGGGTGGGGGAGTTCACAGTAAAAATCTTTACTCAGGGTTTTCTAAAAGTTTTGTCAAGCCCTGGAAGGACTCACTGGGTTTGTTGTCATTGTCAAATTATGTGTACCTCGTCTATGATAACCTATTAAGCTCAGTTTTCGTAACTTGTATCGAGTTCTCACTAAAATAAATAAAAGGAAAACCACCTTTTATTTTCAGTCGTGTTATAATTAATACCTCTGTTAATAGCTCGTCACTATTTAGCTTACATGCAGCATATGTTCTCATATCAATATGAATATGACGTTTGTGTGCATTTAAACTATTAAAAAGCAGTTTCACACATTTTCGGTTGTTCACAGAGACAAGACCATTGACATTATCCTCGTGTACAAATATAAAAAGATATCTAACTAGATAGAATATAAAAACTGTTTTTTGTAAACATATCACAATCGTAGAAATCTAAACGAGACAATTCGCCTTATTTTAACAAGATGGGTCTGATCTATACATGTGTAAGTACCTTTGTGAAGACTTCCCCGCTGAGTTGGTGGTTGTTGATCCCGCTTTTTGAATCTCTTCTTCACCTGCTCCTCCGGCTGCCACCGCTCAGTTGACCGTAAATCATCGAGAGTAAAAAATAAAAGACAAGTCAACTAAAAAGTTTGCAGTCTTCGGTAAATCTCCTGGAACTCCTCACGAGACTGGTCCCTGCAAAGCTCACTTCATACTAATATAAATGAGAATACAAGTTAAAGAATCCTCCACGAGCGTTTTCCAGCGAACTGACTGCTGTGATGGTCTCTCTCTCCTTCTCTCTTACACACTCACTCTCTCTCCCCCTCTCTCACGCACGATCTCACTTCAATGCATGACTGTACTTCCATCAATCAATATCTAATACACATTTTTTTTAATGTTTTATTTCTTTAAACATCTTTCAGTGCTTTCTTGTTGTAGCAAATTAACTTTACATGTTTTCTTTATGCAAGATAAAGTGATTTTATTACAGTAAAATTAAACATCCAACATGTGCGTGGTGTTTAGGTGGTGTGTAGTGACATCTAGTGGTGACATGTATATGGGCCATTCTACCGAATTGGACCAAACTCAGGTTGGAAATGTTTTGAAATGTTGTATGTTTTTTTCCCAAAACTTTGTCCATATATATTTTGTACCCTAAATTACACATAGGCCTATCTAGTAAAAGAACCGTACATTTTGATATCGTATTTTCAGACTGTATTGGAATGTTCTTCCTCTACCAAAAATGGTCACTACCGAAACATAGTACATACACTGTAGTAAAAAAAGCATTATATTAACCTGTTAAAATTGTTTTATCTTCCCTTCTCTAAATAGTATTTTAACAAATATTTCTTGAGGGTTTTCACAATTAAATGAATTAAAGTGCATTTGTAATCAAATTTCAAAGTTCAATTTATACAATTCATAAAAATCATAATGCAAACTTTCTTTGTAAAATGCACAATAGTGATCATATTGATTCCAGAGTTGATGATTGTTGAAATTGAACATACATTAAACCAAACAGTATCATATCATTTTAGTTGATAACTCAATATACTTATTGTTTTACAAAACATCCACTGTTTCGGTAGTGACCACAGTATTTTGTTCTCATGGTTGTGTTATATTCCCTCAACCTGATTGCTTAATCTTAACTCATAACATGCCTTATGTTGAAGTGTGAATGTTTGAAGCTACTGACCCAGAATCAGCACTTTAGTAACAGGCTGAAATAGAGGGGAATGAGGCTAGAATGCATGATCTGTTTGGTATTTTGAGCAAAACACTTCATAGACATGTTTTTTATATATCTGAGACCAATAATATATGCCTAACAATAGTATAATAGGAGACCTTTAAAGTAACACACTGATTTTCAGACTTTAAAACACATTTATTTCAATATGATGGGATTTACCTGCTTACCATTCCATTCTGTCACTACCGAAACGATCATGTCGATTACCGAAACGTAACCATATGTTTCGGTAGTGACTGTTTCGGTAATGAAGATTCTAGCTAAGTTTGAGCATAACTAAAGAATGCTAGCAAGTAGCCTACATGGTTAGCATACACGTTTTTGAAGAGGTTTACACTCATAAAAACCTAATAGGCTACTTTGCATAAAACCCCGAAAAAGTGTACTTAACTGAAGATAAAATGTGTTCGGTTGTGACAATTCTGAAAGTTACACGCCGATTTTCAGATTTTAGAGCAGATTTATATCAAAAGTATGGGATATAGCCAGGGGTGCACATAACTTTCTCATTGAGGTACTCAGATGAGTACCATGGGTCAGTGTTTGGTACTCCAATTTATGTGATGAAGCCCTCTGTGTTGCTTTTATTTTAAATCGTATAATTTCGGACTTTTGTTTCCGTCTGTGAGGAAAATAAATGGGGCTCAGAGCCTCAGGATACTGAAATCTTTTTTTCCTTCTAATTTCTTATTCTTTTCAAAATAACACACTGTTATTTACTCACCAATAACACACAATTATCCTTGTTTTTATTTATTGGTTTATTTCCATAATCTTGGGCTTTTTTGGCGTCCGTCAGGAACTGAATTTCAAAATAAAAATAACCGGAAACAGACGTAGGCCTCTAGGAGTTTAGGATGGCCGAAGACACTACACTACCCATAATCCCCAGCTATCGTTTAGGACTACAGTCCCCGTGATTAATCTTCAAGCTCTGGGATTGGATGTTGGAGTGGCAGTGCGCCAAGGTTAAGCCGAGCGTCAAACAGCTGTTTGAAATCGAACGAAACCACGCCAGACTATCCAAAACTGGAATCGAACGCCCCCCCCAGAACTACACATGCTGGCTATTGTGTTTCGCAAAATGTTCTATGGGACGTCTCTACTGAACGTTTTCGTTTTTCCCACAATTAGAAGTTGCCAGTATTAAACACATTGGTGTTATCAAATGTAAAACATATAATTAATAAATGGGTGAAAATCGCTTGTGTCCATAATGCGCAGCATTAATATATACCCACATGACAGCTCATTGTTACTTTGTAATTCTACTCCACTACAATTCAGAAGTTAACCTGGTATTTTTACTCCACTCCACTTATTTGAGTTACTTTGCAGATTCTGATTAATGATGTGAAATATAAACAACCCTTAAATCAGACTTTAGTTACACCTGAGTAAAATTCAGGGAAGGTGATTGTCAAGTGCCAACAATCAGGAGATATATTTGATAGTTGGTGCTTGAGAAGACTAAACATTTATTTGCAATTGACATGAATGGAAACGAGTAATAAAGTATATTCATTACTCGTTATTCTCTAGTTAATTAAAGACTGTATATAATTGCTATTTTGCACTTCCCTTTCAAGATTTCAAGATTTTCTAAGGTTTAAGGACATATGAATGAAAATCTTTGGTCACAGGTTCCTCAACAGCGCATTACAAGACATGATATCTATCAATATGTGTGTACCTCCACCATTAAACTGTCAAATTCTGCACATTTCTTATACTATCTACATACATAAGAGTATAATTAACGTGTATAATATCAGTTAAAATAAGTGCTTCAACAGTTAACATTGCAGGAAAGCAATATATTAGACTTTAAGTACTTTGTCAGGCTTAATATTTATCTGTAGATAGATACCCCCAAAGTTTTTTTCTTATTTAAAAGAAGACCGTAATCTAAAGTATTATTTAATGTTTAAAAAAAGGTTAATTCGTTTTTCTGTTTTGCACCTCCTCCTATTAACATCTTTGTACATCCTGCACTAAACTGTTTTATTGTAGAGATCACTTAAAGTATCTTCTTGATTTTTTCTATTCTATATTTCTATCACAGACCTTCTACTTTCCCCCTATGAAAGTATGTACTCTTAATATTTTTTTCATCAAATATAACACATAAAAACAATAATTCAATAACGTGCTTTAACCACTTTCTTTGTGCACAGAAGGTACACACAGCCATAATAACTTTGTATAATTAGTGTAGGACACTTATGTATGTACAACATCTGAAGATGTGTAGTTTTATTCATGCTTTCACATAATTTTACAGCATATTGCTATACTATTTCAGACTCAGTATTTAAATTCTTATATTCAAAGAAAATCAGTAATATCTTTAAAAACTACAAGTCCTTTTATATCAGCTGTGCACCGTTATGGTGTAAATATAACCTATCTACGAATTAGATCAAATGTAAAAGTCAGCCGAATTAGTGTTGATACTGCAAGGAGACGTATTGTGTGAAGAGAAATTGAAGATGTTGTTTAATTGTTGATATATTTATGATCCACGTCAAGTATTCAGTTTCGGTCTTCTCATCAGGGCTCTATAAATAAAGAACTAGGGCAGATCTGTAATATGTAATGCAGCCGAAACGTGTATTACAATTCCGTTATGTGATGACTTTCAAAGAGAAAAGCAAGAACACTCGGAATTAAGTATTCTTTTATTCTTTTAAAATGTTTTTCCGATTTCATATCATATAAACACCAAATCCCAACATGCATTGCGGCTAAAACATCCAATCAGCGAACTTAAACCATAGCTGAGGATCTTGGGTAATTGTTCGAAATGCCTACGTCTGTTTCCGGTTATTTTTATTTTGAAATTCAGTTCCTGACAGACGCCAAAAAACCCAGAGATTATGGAATTAAACCAATAAATAAAAGCAAGGATAATTGTGTGTTATTGGTGAGTAAATATCAGTGTGTTATTTTGTAAAGAATAACAAATTAGAAGGAAAAAAAGATTTAAAAAATACAGATTTCAGTATCCTGAGGCTCTGAGCCCCATTTATTTTCCTCACAGGCGGAAACAAAAGTCCGAAATTATACGATTTAAAATAAAAGCAATAATTGTGGCTTGATATTGAGTAAGAACATGTTTTTATGAACCACACAGCTTCCGGTCTTCCACGACCCGACCGGAGAAAAAGACGTGTTGCAGGCACGAAACACATTACCAGTAGAAATACATTGCTTTTAAAATCGTGCTGTGCAACACGAAAAAAAAGGGGAAAATAGGGGGAAATCGTGTTGGTGAACACGAATCAATAGATTAAATGTTGTGACTATAACACGAAATGCCATGAGACTGGGTTGCGATATACTGTAGCTACTTGCCATTCAGCCATGAGGGACAGGGATGCAGTGTCACTGGGTGTTTCTCAATCTCGAGTACGCTTGCTTGGTAGCACATGTCTTCCGAGCGTCTTGCTTTAGAAGCGAGGCAAGAATATTTCTAAGCCTTGGAAAACGAAGAATGGAACAGGCTAGCAAGTGTGCAGGTGTGCTTCATATGAGAGTTCCCGCCTTACATTTTCTGCCACAGATTTGGGGAAATTGGTCCGTGCGCAAAGCATTGTGTGTCACATCCTGGCCCTGGCTGATCGCCTCACTCCCTCACCTGTGTATTTTCGCTCCCTGTTAATCACCTGCCTGGCCTCAATGAGCCTCAGCTGTCCCTAATGATCACTCCTCACCTGTGTATTTAGTCTGTGCTGTTTCCTTGGTCAGTCCCAGTTCGTCTTGTCTGTATAGCAGAAAGTGCACCATGTTTCTCTCCTGACGTAAGCTATTGTTCTAGCTGCTTAGCATTTGTACCAACCTAGTTGGTTGTTTTTTTGTTGCTTCTCCAGTAGTTTTCCGCCAACTTAGTTTGTTTTTCGTTGCTTCCAGTCAGTACATTTTTTGATCATTGCCTGTTTTATTTTTACCTTTTGGATTAAACGCTTGACTAAATACCTTATGTGGTTGTGCTCTTGAGTGTTATTTTTTGCTCGTGCCCGTACTTGTGCTTGATATTGTGGGGATTTTAAGACCG